TCCTGGTTCCAATAGTACATATACATACTCACCGAGACCCAATTCATGGCAAGAAGGAGAGCTGGACTAGCAGTATTGGCCTTCTTCAAGAGGCTCATCACCTCGAGCCAATACAGAAATCGTTTGTGAAGGAACTCTAACAACTCGCTCGACAACGCGTCTGAGAATTGTGCCTCGTGTAAGTGTTGGCCCCAGAAGAGACATGCATACTCCATGTATGAAGGAATTTTCTCCTTGATGCGTTCCGAGAGGTCCAAAATTTGATCGTTACGGATGTACGATGACTCGATCTTGCAAATGTTGAACCGGAGCATACGCTTCATGACGTCGAAACACCGCTTAGTAATCAGTTTCTTCTGAATGTCGAGATCAATAAACCAAGCGTCATTACATCTCGAGGACGATGTCAAGTAATCGCGGAAAGAAGTATGGAAGAAGTAAATGGGTGCCGCTGGAGTATATACAAGCACAGATTGTAAACGTGATAAAATAAGCCGGGATGGCTCATCGACTGAGTATCCAAGGAGCCCGTCAATCGTATCTTCAGAAAGCGGGATTCTGCTGAGGAGTATGAGGCCAAGGACTTGCGAAAAGCGTTCCTTAGAAGTTTCGCTGTTGAATCTGATGCCAGAGCCTAAGAGAATAGACTCGTACAGTTGATCGAGGCCCGAAAGACTCGACGAGTGTGATACTAGGTCTTGTAGTGCCCGAGCCGGATTGTCGCAATCCACCAGCTTCACAGCCGTTGATGCCCACACAAAAAGGCCCTCTGATGCTCCGGCAAGACGATCCATCCTATCCTGCCAATCATCAGGAATCCGTAGCGCTTTACCCGCAAACACGTTTCGCAGTTCGTAGTCAAGATAATGAAGCACGTCATCTTTGCAAGTACCCGATGTGTGATCCAGTCCGACAGCACAAATGTTCTCTGCTGAAAAGAAGACCTGATTAATGTCTGATTCTCTTCTGCTCGTGATGAGAAATCGGAAATTCTTCGGGAGCAATCGCAGTCCTCTTCGAAAACTTTGCATTAGGCTTTGCCTAGACCTCTCCGTACCGCATTCATCTAGTGCATCAAGGACAATGACAACGGGTCCTTGCATCGCGTCTCTAGAAGAAACAAGAGGACTATGAAGAAGGTTTTCAAACTGGGTCGCCGCCGTGGCCTCTGCAATATTGTTGTCTCGCTTAATGGCGGCAATGACATTATCTTCCACGGTTGAGTCGAATGAGGCAAGCTTATACACGAGAGTTCGGATGACACTGCTCGGATCACTCTGCCCACGTTCAAAAAACAGATGAGCGCCGAGTCGCGATATACCACGGAAGTGTTCGGCAATAGTCGTGCTGACAGTACTCTTGCCAGACCCTGCTACACCGTATAACCAGAAGACATTCTGGTCCGAGTCCGATAGCGTCCATTCCACGATCTGCTGCACGATTTCTGTTCGCGTCCCAGGAAGGCATTGCGGCCTGCTAAACGCGTCCATCCTATCTGGACGTAGTCGGTCCGATAAAACTGAGCGACCCGCTTCAGTGTCATTCATCGAGTGTACAGATACGGGCACGCACATATGGTATTGATTTCTGAAGACATTCTCAATGAAACAAAGGCAGTTTGGATAATAACACCCGACTCAATCGATTGCTTGAGCAAGCACAAGGACTGATTGAACTCATCAACTTTTCCATCCACGTCTATCTTGATCATTCGTCCTGGTGTGCAATGAGAAAATCTCATTGCACGCATTTTGTGACTCTCGACGCACCTATAAATGAATCCCGTGCGTATTCCTTGATGAAAAGGCAACATTCATTAGTTTGCCTCAGAAGCTGGGTAATGGTTGTCCTGAGGGATTGCGTCTTATTACGAAGGAATTCTGCATCCTGAACGAAGCTGAAGGCATCTTCCATGACACGCACGAGTTCGACGACTTTCTTGTCAACTTCGAATTGATGACTGATGCTCTGAGAATAATGGTCAGAAATGTCAAGTAACAGCCGCCCAGCATACGCATACCTTGTACAGCATTGATGCAACTTGCCATGTAAAGTTGATGTATGGGTGAACCTAATTTTTCATTAATCGTTAACACGCTGCACGGATTGCAAATCTTACCTGGGAAAGTTTATCGACAACACTGACAAAGACGTCCAATTTCGAAACGAGATTTTCAACGGACTGATACAGACCGGCGTATCCAGAAAGATGGGTACCAAAGGTCTCAATTGTTGTAGAGACGGGTGTATCTGTGGTAGCTGCCGAAGACGAGATTCCACTCTGTTGAACCGCTTGTCTTGCAGCATTGACGTTGTGACCAGCCCCTGACATCGTATCGACAATCTTTAGACGTAAATGAAGGATGGCGGTAGTTTCTGTCAACTTCGAATTACGAGACATTTTGAGATGAAGCTCCGTTTCTGGGTGTCTAATCAGAATATAGGATCGTTGATATCGACCAATTCACGCACCTTTGCCATCAGCACACCTCTGTAATAAGTCATCAAGCCCTACTTCAGTCTTTCCCACGCATTTGTCCTTCCACGACGAACTATGCCTGATTTGAATGATAAATTTCGTCCCGCCGCCTGCAGATGGACTATGTATTTACAATTGGAGAGACGCCCCACGTTGAAGTAGATACTTTGCTTACTGTTCGAATGAAAATGTTTCGTCCCATTGGGGCAACAGGTCCAGCTTGACAGCCCGTGTTCGTGTCTTAACATTATTGAATTTGATATGAACGTGTAGATTTGGACGTTCGCTGTGAACGAGAGAAGAAACCCATTTTATTTGGGAGGCACGAATCACTGTAGAAGGTATCATTACAGAGTAGAAACAATGCAAAACTAATAGATGCTGTACCTGTCAAGGAAAGACTAGTAGCTGCAGGGGTTGGGGTCATGGGGGTTTGCATGGTGATTTGATCCAGTTCATCGATAGACCTCCGCTTTTAAGCCAGCGTCACGATTGTTGATAGGTGGGTATAAATAGAGTATTGAACATGTGTCCTCCACATGCCTGATGATTGACTCCTTTGGGTATTGAATGGAAGCTAGATTGATGCTCAATGATCATACATCTTTGAGGAAGAACAGTAAGAGAAGAGCTGATGGGGGTGTTGTAGTAGTGAAGCAGGACAAGGCATAGTAACAGTGTAGGGCAAAGCTCATTGTATGAATGGATGAAATAACAGACATATTAAGTTGTATTCCAGAGACGTTGTTATTGTTGTACTGCAGTTTTGGACCTTTCCTAGTAGTATTTCTGGTAGTACGGGTCCAGGCGGCAAGGGAAGCATCATGGTTGAGTTATGTAATGTCCAGAATTTTCAGTCATGTGAAGATCATCTCCTCCTTCTGGTCTCTCTGGCCCCTTGTGTACGACTTTTCCTCGCAACGCTCTTCTCCTCCTCGCGAGCAACTTCTCTATCAATGCACCCTTTGTGAAGCCAGCCGACTTCAGATATGCCTGCGATCGTACGATGCTTTACCTGCACAACGACAAGCTCCAGCCGCTCAACGTCGACCGCGGAGTCTCCCTCGCCGGAATCATCTCATTCTCACCACAACTCACCTCGCTTCAGCTCTACCTTACGGATGCAAGTAGCGGGACCACGATCAGCGAGGAGGTTGTCAAACCACCTAAGGAACGCGATGAGAGTTATAGTTTGAATATTCCTGCTGAAGGAGGCGAGGCGAAGTTGACTGCGAACACTACCCTGGGGTTGTTTAGAGGGTTGACTACGTTCGGTCAGCTCTGGTATACTGTGGATAATACGACTTTTGCGATTGATGCGCCTTAGCAGATTACTGACATTCCAGCTTTCGTGGGTCGTTTCTCTTTGCGTTCGAGATTGAATTATGGATAACTGAACTGTGTCTGTACCTGTTTGTGTAGCCTTATAGAGGATTCATGTTTGTAACTAGTAATTAACTTTCTAAATTTGGAAAATTAGCATAAATTCAGATTCTATTTTAATTTAGCTTCCTAGTAGATGATATCAATCGTCTACTCGATACAATCAGCTGGGTCAACCTGAACCAATTCCACTTGCATATCATCGATTCTCAATCCTTCCTGCTCAAACTTCCCAACTTCCCAGAGATCGCCAATGCAGGCGCGTATTCGAACGACTCGACGGACTCCGCAGGAGATGTATCGAAGGTCGTCGTCGCGTTCGCCGCTTTGCGCGGTATTGACGTACCCGTCGAGGTCGATACGCCCGGACACACCTCCGCGATATCAGCTTCTCATCCAGAGCACGTAGCGTGTGCGGGTAAGACTCCTTGGGCTACATATGCAAATGAACCTCCTGCGGGTCAATTACGTCTCACTTCAGACAATACTGCGAACTTTACTGCCAGCCTACTTGCGGACATAGTAAATTTGTTCCCGTCGAGTTTGTTCATCACGGGAGGGGATGAGATTAACGCGAACTGTTATCAGAACGATGAGAAGACGCAACAGAGTTTGAGTTCGAGTGGGAAGACGATTGATCAGGCGCTTGATGGGTTTACGAACGTCACACATAAGGCTGTTGGGGGTGCTGGGAAGACGCCTCTTGTTTGGGAGGGTAAGTTTCTTTTTAGGAGAAATACCCTTTTTGATAGTTTGCTGATCTTTTATTTTTACTTTTGCAGAGATGGTTTTGCAGCATAACGTGACGCTCGAGAATGATACTGTCGTCATGGTCTGGATCTCGTCAGACGACGTTAAGGCCGTCGCAGAGAAAGGATTCCAAATCGTACACGCTGCATCGGACTACTTCTACCTTGACTGTGGTGCTGGTGGTTGGGTCGGTGCGAACCCTGCAGGGTACGTTCACTTCATTCTTCAAATAATTTAATAAGATGACTAATTAACTTTGAAACGAACAGAAACTCCTGGTGCGACCCATTCGAAACCTGGCGAAAATCCTACTCCTTCGACCCATACGGGAACCTCACATTCGACCAATACCCTCTCGTCCTCGGTGGAGAGTCCCTCTGGACAGAACAATCCAGCCCAGAGAACATGGATTCGATCATTTGGCCACGTGCAGCGTCAGCTGCAGAGGTATTCTGGACTGGAGATCAACTACCAGGCGGGGTGAACCGCACGAGTTTGCAAGGAGTGCAGAGTGCGTTGCCGAGATTGCATGATTGGAGTTTTAGAACACGGGCGAGGGGTACGAAGACGATTAGTTTGCAGCCGTTGTGGTGTGCGCTTAAGCCTGGGGTGTGCGATTTGACGGCGTAAGACTGGTTTAGAAGTGTGAGAGGGAAGACTTGAGAGTTTGTTTGCGTTACTCGACTTTGGTTTTGGATTCCGGAGTCGAAGTTGTGTAATAACGTTCTTTATTTGTTATGTTTCCTTTGCTCTGTTCACTTTGCTTATCTATCTACTGGAGGCCTGGAGTACATCTTTCCCTTCCTTTTGTTTTTCTTTTCTTTTCTTAACTAATATATATTAATATTGCATTACATTGCTTGCTTGATGCTTTGTTACAATGACGTTCGTTACCTACTTGTTTCTCTGGAAGATTACCACATATGCGTGTATTCTATCTATCGAAATAGTACCAGTATGAGTGAGACGAACAACCTGTGTATATCGAGCAAAAGGCAGGAGAATGTTGTCATTTAGGTGGTGTGAAGCATTCTTCCCATCGTTCACCAAGAGCAGCGTTTGTGAAATCCAACTTCGTTGAGAATTGGCTACCGAAGATTGCAGTATTTCGTGGTTGCCATAGTGTGTCATAGATGTCAGGAGGAGTCCACAAGAGCAACTCGCCGTCGCGTCCACGTATCCATCCGTCGGATTTATCCAATGTCCAGTCAAAGACAGGATCTATGCCACGAATAACGTAATGAGGGGTCATTCATTAATATTGACTGTTGAAGACAGAAACTGCCTGCGCACCTTTTACATTCCATATTCTGATTGTACCATCATCGGAGCCTGAGACGACACGACTTCCATCTGGTGAGAATGCGACGGACCGAACCCAGTCCGTGTGCCCTTCAAAAGGTGCAAAGATTGCCTGCCTACTCTTAACGTCCCAGACTCGGATTGTGTTATCGTAAGAGCCCGAGACAATGCGTGTGCCGTCAGATGAGAAAGCAAGTGATACAACTGGTGCGGTATGGTCATCTGAAAGTTTGCGTACGACCTGTCCACTCTCAGCATTCCAGATTATGATGGTGCCAGCAATATCGCCGGAGACGACGTTCGTCCCATCAGACGAGAAAGCTACTGAATAAACCCTATACTCGTGTTCTTTCAAAGGTCCCGTAATGACTTCTCCACTTTCAACACCCCATACAATGATTGTTCCATCTCCAAACCCAGACACGGCTTGTACCCCGTCAGGCGAGAAAGCAATAGATGAGATGCGTGGGCTATCCTGGTCTTTGTCATTCTCAGATAACTTAGAGTTGTAGCTTTGGTCATCTGAAGTTTGACAATCCTTATGGCTATCTTTGGAACCATAACCGATACGGCCCTCATCGGACAAGGAAACAACGGATTCAATGCCTTGTGTGCGCCTTTTAAAAGTTCTAGAAGCAGAACTAATCTGTCCACTGTGAACGTCCCAGACTCGGATCGTGCCATCCAATGAACCAGAGATAACACGTGTCCCGTCAGCAGTGAACGAAACGGACTCGACCCGGTCTTCATTTCCTTCGAATGGACCGGAAACAATATCTCCACTTCCAACGTCCCAGACTAAGATCGTTCCATTTATAGAGCCAGAGACGACACGCCCACCATCCGGCGAGAAGGAAATAGAAAGGATATTTTCGGACTGCTCTGAACGTCCTTTGAAAGGCCCGGAAACTGTACACCCACTTTCTGCGTCCCAGACTTGAACCGTTCCGTCGAAAGAGCCAGAGACAACGAGTTTCCCATCGGGAGAGAATGCAACGGAAGTTATTATATTCTCATGCCCTTCGAACTTGTCCAAATTGGCCTGTTCGCCTTCGGCGTCCCATATTCGGATCGCACCCAAGGCGCCTGAGACAACTCTCGTCCCATCGGGAGAGAACATGACGAACTTCACGTCATAGTCATGCCCTTTGTAAGGCCCAGAAATGACTTTCCCGGTCTCAACGTCCCAGATTCGAACCGTTCTGTCAGTAGATCCGGAGACAACACGTTCCCCGTTGGGCGAGAACGCAATACACTGTACTCCGGATGTGTGCCCTCTGAAAGGCCCATAAATGCATTGGCCACTTCGAGCATCCCAGATTCGAACCGTCGAGTCTGCAGAACCTGAGACAACACGTGTACCGTCGTGAGAGAACGTAACCGATGTCACAGACTCGGTATGGCCCTCGAGGGGTTCACAAATTAGGTGTCCACTCTGGAGATCCCACAATCGTATCGACTTGTCGTCGGAACCAGAGACGATGCGTTTTCCATCATGAGAAAAGGTAACGGAACATACCGCTTTTGTATGGCCCGCAAAGCGCACAGATACAGGTTCCTTGCTGTCAATAGTCCGCACCACGATGGTTGTATCGGCTGAGCCAGATACGACATGCCTCCCATCAGGTGAGAAAGCAACTGACAGAATTACATCCGCATGGCCCTCAAGAGAATTAAAAACAAGCTTCCCACTCTCAACTTCCCAGATTCGAATTTCTTGGGTTCCGGTTTCTGTATCCGAACCAATAGAGACAATGCGTTCAAGGTTAGGTGAGAAAGCACTATGCCATGTCCGAAAATGCTCTCCTTCGAAAGGTCCAGAAATGACTTGCCCACTTTCGGCATCCCAAATTCGACTTGCGTCGCCGAGGTGGCCAGCAATACGCCTATTGTCAGGCGAGAATGCAAGAGCACGGATGTTACCCCAAACATATATCTTCTTCAATAATGGTGATCGTTGCTTCATGCCTATGTGCTCTACCTGCACAATAGGTAGATTAGGCCTTAAGTAATTGTCCGCTATAAACTTCGACTCCAGCGATGCAAGCGGAAGGAATGACACGTAGATATGGGATGTCGATTGTGAAATGCATGGAAAATATACAGTGATTATTCTTCGTGCGTCCCTGAGGAACGCCAGTATGTGTGCATCGTATGACTAGTTGATGGATAAATTAATCCTGGTTCCAATAGTACATATACATACTCACCGAGACCCAATTCATGGCAAGAAGGAGAGCTGGACTAGCAGTATTGGCCTTCTTCAAGAGGCTCATCACCTCGAGCCAATACAGAAATCGTTTGTGAAGGAACTCTAACAACTCGCTCGACAACGCGTCTGAGAATTGTGCCTCGTGTAAGTGTTGGCCCCAGAAGAGACATGCAT